GTTAACAAAACTTCTTGCGCGCCCTCGGTAATAAGTCCTAACAGGTACCTGATTCCTCGGAGGCGGTTGCGGTGTCGACCTATAATAATTACGATTCGGAATATAAACACGTCCTCGGCTTTGTCCATAAAATTGATTATACTTACCTCGATGCTGAGCCGCAAAGACTGTCTCCGCCGATGTGCTGTGACCTTGGTGCGCCCGTTCCTCATCTTTAGCCGCACGTATAACATCTTTCAGTTCTGAGTAATCTCTAGCCGTTAAAATGGTACTCAATCGACCATTTCTCAAGCCTTCTGTAAACCGCTGAATAGCTAGTTTTTCATTTACAGGTCTAAACATTTTATACGCGTCTTCTTTACCGTCCGCTTGAGATATAGTCAATTCAACAAATAAGTCCTCAAGTTTCTTACCAAATTCTTCAATGCTTTGGGACCCTTGTCGAGACTGCAATAGCTCCAACTGAAGCGCCGTGGCAGACTGCTTCGTCAGCAAATTATTTTTCATGTCCTTTATAAGATCTGCGGAAGTATCATAGTTAGATGCCAAACGTAATTTGGCATGTCGGGATATGCGAGTTTTAAGAACAAAGGATATTAATAAAGATTCATGCTCTTTCTTAATGTTTTGGCTATAAAATTCAAGAGCATCTATTAATTTTTTAGTACATTCCTCCTCTCCTGTCATCACAGGTAGAAGAGAAGATGCAGTTTTCATGTCAAACTCAGTCATGGTGTTCACGGTACTTAGGCTTTGTTCGTTCTCTAAACAAAAATTCTGAATTCTTTGATAATATGACTCTATTTCCTCACAAATAATCAAAATATATTTTAATTCCTCCTGCTTAACATAACCTTTAGACACCTTTATATCTAATTCACTACGACATGTAATATATTTATCATATAAACCATTCGCTTCTAAATATTTTTGCTCTAACACTTTCTTTGTTCTTTTAACTTTACTTAATTTTAGTAAATTGACTTTAATATTTTTAATTAATGTATGAATATCTATTAAATCAGACATTTAACCCTTAACTCATGAAAAATAAATGAAGTGGGGCAACATAAAGAAACCTATTCTAAATCTTAACTAAAATACCTCTGTCCATGCCGTACACTTGAAACACTTCACACACACATTTTCACTTTTACCGTAACATATGAAGACTCTCTTATCCGATGTCTGCCTTTGTCTAGCCGAGTTTTACTCAAGGCTAAACGCTCTCGATATTGGACTCTTTGCTCCTTGGGTCACGCCTTGGGCCAGAACGCCTAAAAGCACTCCTGGCTATCTCCGCTCGCATCCAGTCTACGTGACAGCGTTTATACAGCTTGTATACTCCAAACCAAACTCCAATAGTCAGGATGACCAACATCGCACCCAGTATAAAATTGGTCACTGACTGATTTTGATGTAGTTGGGCAACATCAGCAGCATTTACGCCACCTGCGGCGTTTTGCGCAATCACAACTTCTTTACTTTGTGGTTTTCCCATTGTCAGAATCAAAATTACGCACCAAACTTATAACTTTGTCCGAACAATAACGCAATACAATAGTTTTTTCCCTCATGTCACTACGCGCGATTTACTGAGCCCGGAATCCGACACCGAACCTTAAATGGCAGGGTCGCCATGTAAGGACGGGACTTAGGTGAATCAAACAAGATGTTGTTGGTTACACGTTACGTTTATTAATGCCTCTCTACCTAAAAGATACAATGTTATATTCTTATAGACTAATGATTACTTACTACGTCACAGCGGTTACGTTTTTTTCACGTTGAAAACGTATTCAGTCGTAATTGAGAAATTATTATTGTTTATCATATAAAAATGTTTCCATTTTCCTAACTAGATGGTGTTGGCGTCGAATTAGATCGCGCTATGGTTTCGTTCACAAAAAGTGATGTTATGAGTACCGATGTCGCCGCTTCAACCTATAGAAACGGGGGTTACCTGCGTTGTTTATAAGTTATCGAGATTCTCAAATTATTCTGTTTACTTCGTGTTAATTTCTCTTTTAGTAGTAAAAATGCCCAGAAAGCGGTCTAATCTATCACAATCGTCATACCATTCGCGAAAAAGAAGGTTAGCTCGATCCCTTGAAACCGCTGACGAGCGAGAGGCCAGGTTGACTGCTGTTCGTGAACAAATTGCAGAGACTCGAAGAGGAGAATGTAATACGGCGCGCCAGTCGCGATTAGATACCATGCGCACTCAAAATGCATTGTCGCGGTCTCAGGAAAGTGCAGAAGCACATGAGATGCGGCTGTCAATTGACCGAGAGCGCCATGCTAAGTCACGCGCGTCAGAGACGTTCACGCAGCGAGAGGCGAGGCTGAGTTCTCAGCGCTAGCACACTGATGTCGCTCGATCTTGTGAGAGTGTTGAAGGGCGACAAGCGCGTTTGGAAAGCGATCGGGAGCGCCATGAGTCTCGCGCATCCGAGACGTATACGCAGCTTGAGACGAGACTAAGTTCGCAGCGCAGTCGCACTGATGGCGCTCGATGTTGCGAGAGTGTCGAAGCGCTACAAATTCGACTGGAAAGTGATCGGGAGCGCCACGCTGATTCGAAACGTACACGCAACGAGAGGCGAGGTTATGTTTGCAGCGGAGCCGCGCTTCTTTTTCTCGGTCGATTGAAGACGATGAAGAACGGGAGACCCGCTTAAGAAGAGACCGCTCTCAGCATGCCCTGTCACGTTCTTTAGAGACAGATGAGCAGCGTGAAGAACGTCGTGCAGCTGCTCGACAGCGGTACCACGAACTGCTTGGAGATGCGTCTACTCATCTATCAAAAGAATAGGACAGTATTCAAGAGATTCGGGGAACTTGGTCGTAAACAAGATCACCTGCGTCGTAACGTAAATCAGCTTTCAACATCTGATGTGGTATCCACGGTTTACGATATCGAAGAGCAACTATGGCTAAACAAAGAGGGAAGTGGATTTATGTACAATGTTGCGATTAACTACGCCGCTTATGGCAATATTGGTGCCTTAGAAGAAGTGTGTGCTCACTGCCAAGCACGCAAATGGAAAGGGGAGCCAAATGGGATGTGTTGTGCATCTGGTAAGGTCCGTTTGGACTCTAAGCACGACCCGCCAGACCTGTTAAGAGTCCTATTAAATGGCGAGCATCCAAAGTCCAGCCATTTTTTGAAAAACATCCGAGCTTATAATAGCACCTTCCAGATGACTTCGTTTGGTGCAAATCAAATGGTTGAAGCAGGATTCATGCCAACATTCAAGGTACAGGGTTTATCATCAAATCGGTTCTTTACTACCAACAGACACGCCAAAATTTTTGCAAGTTTATTTTATTAGCGATTTCGATGAACAAGCCAACGTGCGAAGCAGACACATCCCCAATTTGGACTCTGGTCTGGTCAGGGGATTGCAAAGTATGTTGCATAATGTGAATCACACATTGAGAACTTCAAAGCCGCCCTGGCGTCAGTGCCTGAGAACGAGCGCAACCGCTTTAAGTTTGTCATCAGCGCAGATAGAAGACCGATCGCAGCCCATCCCGGGCGGTATAATGCACCAACGACGAATGAGGTAGTCGTTCTCTTAGTCGATCAGGAGTGTGATAAAAGAGATATCGTTTTGCGCACGCATGATGACCGGCTTCAAAGGATCAGCGAGACACACCGCGCTTACGATTCTCTTCAATATCTTCTTATGTTCTGTTGCGGAGAGGATGGCTACCATTTTGCCTACTATAATATAGATCCCTAGACAGGCTCCCTGAATTACAACAAAAAAACGTCTGCTATGCAGTTTTACAGCTTCTTGATCCAGCTTCGAGTAAATGACGGATCTTATCTCCACCGTTACCGAACGCTCTTTAGTCAGTTTCTGGTGGATATACCTGTACATAACTACCCCTTCCAGTTCAAGCGCGTGCAGTTCCCTGTGAGTGTTTGCTTCGCGATGACTATCAATAAGTCACAGGGACAGACACTGAAGGCTGCGGGTGTCGACCTAAGGACGAGCTGCTTCTCACACGGACAACTGTACGTCGCTTGCTCCCGCGTCACCAGTCCTGACTCTCTATACATTTTGGCTACTGAGAGCAAAACTACAAATGTAGTTTATAGAGAAATTTTATAATTGTGTTTCTTTAAATCTGTTATTCGTGGGATGTAGGAATTAAACCATATTCAAAATTCACCTGCACTATGAGAGGTACTTATGAGGTGAAGTTATACTGCAGCGCCAACTGCAAGGGAATGTGATCCTAAAAGTTGCTCACTAAAAAACTACACTTAAAATGACGCAGGCGTAGATATGTATTTTTGGTGCTTCACGGCGTCCGCGCGGACGAAGTCGCGGGCAGCAGCTAGTATATATATATAAGCATATGTATGTATATTTACAGTATATAATATGTATTTATAACGTCTCTGATGATGCTTGTTTTGTGCACCTTTATATTTATCTCTGCATCATCCAAAGGTTTGGCTGTCAGAGAATGCCCATGGCATTAAGCCCACCTTTGTACATTTGTTTTGTGCATAAAGATATTAAATAAATAAATAAATAAATACTTCACATTTTTATGACATAGGCTGGCTAACGAGTAGCCTTATTACCTGATGGTAAGCACATGGACGCACCTGAGGTTGGCAACACTAGAGGAGTTTCGTTGCCAGCCTTTTCGTGATTAGAGTTTTGGTGATTTAGGGTTTGGCCAATTATTGGGAGATTGGAAGAAGGATGGGCCTCTCGAAACCTCACCCACACGGCAAAACACAACGCTGAGGTTGTTTCACGTCGGTTTTTCTGTGAGGCCATGGTATCACATTGGTCGAACCGATCCATTCGTGCCGAAACCTGGCCCTCACATACTTTATTTTTATTATACCTATGCATATCTCATTCTAATTTAACAAATAATACCTACCATCAACGTTTTGTTTAAGGCTTAATTTTAATATTACGAGGACAGCAGAAAATCTGAATTAACCAATTAACTTTACATTGCAGGTTAAAGGTTACCAGGTACCACCAGCTGAATTAGAAAACGTGTTAAAAGAACATCCAGCAGTTCTAGACGCAGCTGTAGTCGGAGTACCAGACCAAGCCACGGGTGAAAGACCAAGAGGCTTTATAGTCTTGAAACCAGAAGCTAAGGCAAATGACAAAGACATAATTGAATTTGTTAGCAAAAGAGTAGCACCATACAAGAAGATAAACGAAATAACATTCCTAAAAGAAATTCCAAAGAATCCCTCAGGGAAAATTCTAAGAAAAACTTTGAAAGAAGAGTATTGTAAATAAATGGTTGGTAACGTGGTCTTGCTTTTTTATTTTATTTCATGTTTAGCCCATTGGTTATTTGTTAGAAAGCATTTTTAGTAAACCAGTATATATGCGTTATAGATGAGGTAAAATTTATTTATTATTTTGCTATTACAGGTAACCTTGACCTAATTCAACATAGTAACGTAAAATAATATGTTTTCTAAACAATTGACTATAAACTATATTAACCTTAGTATAATCTTATTACACTTTTAACGACAAACTATATTTCCTTACGTTCCACACAGTAACTGGTCTTTGTGAACTCGCTCAGTGAACAGCTAAATATTTCAATGACATCAGCCACTGTGTTGAGAGTGTAAAAGACCAATGAAGCTCAAACTTTTACCCTGTATTGCTATCCTTCATTTTGCTTTAACTAAATAATTTCCTGGATAGATACATCTAAGAATACATGCCACTATAATGCTTAAAGAAAAATGCCCAGTCAAGGTTTTTCTATTAGAATCTTTAATTAAAAACATTTCAAAAACTTTTGTCTTAGTAAATAAGTCAGTTTTTGACTTAGTAGGCTAGTCCATTAATATAAAAATATTGTTAAACTAATACCTTCATCATCATTTTCTGAATGTATACATTTATCATAAATTTCAAAAATCTGTTTGATTGTGATCAATTATTATAATTAGTATTCGAATTTATATTGGTGGTCAAGTATGAGTCGAATATATGAGGTGGGTTTAAAGACAAAGTCAAAAACATTTATTCCTACTACTTTTGAAACGTCATAATAAAAAGTATAAAAACTAAAACCCAACTACGACAAAAGCAAACGCTGGACAACAATAAAACAAGATTTTCAGAATAGTAAACGTTGTCAGAGTGCAGGTATGGTAAGTAAATGTAACGTGTGACTAGGTACGCCTTTCCAGCGTTGATGATATTTATCTTAACTTATTTTTATTATTATTTTTTTATTATTATATTTATTTATTTTTTACTCTGGTTGTTTTGTCCGCTAGAGGACGCTACATTAGATTTTGTTTTGATACCCCATATACTTAGCATATAACCAGCGGACCATTAAGACGTGTCTCATGATATGTAATATGTCGAATTCTGATAAGTAGTTTAGAAGTTACGAGGGAACAGATGAACATACATACATACATAGCCTGCCAAAATTATAACCCTCCTTTTGCTTTGCCGTAGTCGGGTAAAAATAGAATAACATCCGGTCAGTCTGCTTGTCAGTGAAGCTAAGAGCTGGTTTCAAATTGTACATTGGAATGGAGAAGAACGTTTTCATTTTTTTAGGGAATAGTAGGCAAAAGATCTTTGTGTGCCTTATGAAGTAGCATGCGATGCCCCAGAGTGAAGTTCCGCCTTGATCTATTAAGCACACTTAGCTTCTTCGAGGCTCACTTAGATGACCACCCTTTAGATGACCGCAAAACTGGAATCCGTTTGATATGTGTACGTGATGTCAACATCACATACCTTATAACAGCCGAGGCTGTTTTTTTAGTATAACTTTCGTGAGACATTCTAAATTATTTATTATGTTTTGGGCTTACTCATGTAATAATTTGACGAGATACTCGACTAGTTTCAAGCCATGCTAGTAGCATGAGTAGCATAAGAGTAGCAGCGCGACAGTCGCCGAGTCGCGTGTCGCGGAATGCTGCTTATGAATATGGGCCTCTAGCGTGGCTTGAAACTAGCGAAAAGCGAGTATATCGTCAAATTATTACGTGAGTAAGCCGAAAACATAATATATAAGCCGAGGCGTTGTCGAGGGTGCTTTGAAATTTAGGAAACACGACCAACGGCAGTTTTTGAGGGGTTAAATTGGACCATTTTAAGTCTTTTTTAATGTGAGAGATCGGCAAACAAGCAGATGATTACCTGGTAAACAATCAGCGCCGCCCATTGACACCCGCAACAACGGAGGAGTTACGAGTGCGTTACCGACCTTTGACTTTTCCCGAGAAATGTTAGCACGGCCGGTGTAAATGGCATCACCCGTGCTGTCATCCGCATACCAATGACTGCTACAGATTTGCAACATGTCATCGACATGGAGAAGTAAGAAACATAATTATTTTTCTTTCAATATGAAAAGAACATGAAAACAATTTGTCCAGGCGAAAATAAAATGTGATTACTAGTTCTGTAATTTAATTGCAACAAATAAAGTAAAATATTTTTAAATAATGCCATTTAATTGTGAATTTCATTTCGGTACTATGTCAAATGTCAAATTATAGTGCTGGATGACGAATGAGTCTGACCGACAGATGGCGTTAGAACTCGACTGACGTACTACGAGACATTTAATGAATATTCAACCTTTTCCTCAGTAATAATTTTATATGAATACGATTCGACTTGAGGACTGGGTTATTAAACGATTCTGAGTACGGCAGAATTAAAAAAAAAGATTTATCGAATCCTAAAATCGTTCTCAAAATTTTTAAATCACTAAATGTTCTCACAACGATAATTATCATATTTATTGTTTAGTTATTTAGGCAACAGGCTTCCATTTTGGAAGATTTTCCACAACGTTTCTATAAGGGTCAGAGTTTGAGGTCAATTTTAGACGCACAACATTATAAGTCTAACTGGCGCTAATTTTAGATATATTTACTAAATATAGCAGAAACTTGTTCATTGTTGGATATTTCCTACGTAATGTTAATTAAATCAATAATAACGTTGACAACAAAACGTGTTTTTTAATAACAACACATTGACTTTTATAGAATCAGCAAATATGTATAATATACCGAATCAATACCAGCTGTGGATAATCTTTTGGTAGCCTTTGTGATGGATGACGAAAAAAAAATAGGTAATGATCATTGTAACCAACATTCAATTGTTTTTAGAACACAACCGTTACAAGGGAAAATTTTAAATAAATTATCATTGAAAGTCTCTAAGTACGACATTTGGACTTTAACGCCATCTGTGTGACAGTACCATAAGTAATCAATTATTAACCCGTGGTATATATCCCGGAGCGCAGATATACGCGAGACATAATGCGTTTTCTTTTGTGTCTCATATACCGGCAGACTAGCGGTTAATAAAGTTGCCCAATAATTTAATATATGTACTGCAGCCAGTAAGAGTCTGACACTCGATCTTACCCCACCTAGGGTAATAGCGATGCGATAATTTTCCACGCTCAAAAAAAAGTCTTAGAGGGTGAGCTTAATCAATATTTAAGTCAATTAAAATCTATACTAATATTTTAAAGCTGTAGAGTTTGTTTGTTTGAACGCGCTAACCTCCGTAACTACTGGTTCGAATTAAACAATTCCTTTTTGTGTTTTTAAGTCCATTTATCGAGGAAAGCTAAGGGCTATAAAATATCGCGCTGTGATCTGTAGCAGACAAGCAGCGCCTGAAACTACTAGTACAAAATAAAGAACCTAAAGTATGTATCATTTATTGTATGGTTTGTATGTAATTAAAACATGACCATCAAAAACTGCGCGCGATCTATGGTGCAAAAAATCTTAAAATTAAAACTGTACTACAATTTGCTTCTAATAATTCTAAACTATCTTATAAAAATAAGACACCAACAAATGGAACTATTCGAAAAGAATTTCATCTAAATTAAAATAATTTGGCGAAATGACAATTTTTTTAAACCAATTGGTATGCAGGCGCCACAATTCTGTCTCTGGTTTTATATGAAATTATACAACAGACGATTTATTAAATATAATATATTCAATAGGTAGTTAAATAGCTATCAAAACAACACTGGATTCCGGCTCAAAACATAATTTACATACAATTATTGTAAAATAAATTGTAAAAATCTTCTTTTTGTGGAATACTTTTACACCACAAATCTACGTTGGCGCCATGCTATACTGTTGCTGTTTTGTTTTTTATGTCACAGAAATAACAATAAAATTGTATTAACTTTATCTTTTCTTGAAAAATAATACCTACGCTTCGGATTATTTATAATATAGGAATTCATTCTATGTTTATACATGTATGTTTTGTTTTGTCGCGTGTTATGTGTTATTAGTAAAATTTTCTAATACATTTTTTGTGGTAAGAAAATCAACAAATCACTTCTCCTGCCCTAGGTAGGGGCAGAAGGGTTGTTAGATTCTTACTGACTAAAATCTCCTGCTCCTTTAATCTCCAAGCCGAAGCCGCGCTACCCTAGTGCGTCCCGCGTCTTTGTTTTGCGAGTATGACTTGTTTGCAGAGGCAGACAGCTTCCCAGTTCTTAGCTCCGCTCCATGGCCTCTACTTAAGTCGATCGCGAGAGGTCCCCGCTGGCGATCACTACCCTTAGAATACCGTACACCAATACAGTATGCTCGATCGTGTCCTCCAGGTGGTCCTCACAGTGATAAGTTTGGGTTCGGGTGTTCTCTGAAGCAGGTAGACATCTCCCAAAACATTCGTGTTCAGCGTTAGGAAGACGGTGAGCTCACCGTAGCGACTCCCTAACTACTTCTCAAATATGGGTCTTACACATAGAGGAATGCCATTCGACCACCACAGACGGGGCCCTAAAGGGCTGATGTTCAGCCGGGGTTGCGGGGTAAGCGCAATGAGGTACCGCGACCTCGGCACAGAGCAGGAGAAGGAACAGGGGGGGTTTTAGTCAGTAAGAGTCTGACACTCCCTCCTGCCCGGCCCTGGGCGGGAGAAGTCATTTGATGATTTTCCCCTCACAAAAAAAACACATAGAGGAATAATCCCTGTGGTTATATCCTCTATGGTCTAACAGCTACAATAACAGCAAGCCCGGTTCTTAGTTGAGACTGTCGTCGAGTCAATTTCTTATATTTATGCACATTGCACATGACCGACGTTGTATCTATAAAAGGTTTGAGACGCTGATTTGTTTACAAATAGAGGAAAATATCCAATATCCAGTCATCTTTGGAAATTAATTTCGTTATTGACAGCGGAGCTCAAAAAAACTATGTAAGTACCTACTTAGGTGCTTTTTATTTGTATATCTGTATATTAATTAATAC